ATGCATTCAGGATTGGGCCCTTTAGGTCCAACAGCCTGTTAATACTTACTGTAATGTAATACTAGTCCTCTTTCTCATAAGTCTGACTAGCGCTCCTCTGTGAAGCTTCCTGGGAAAGCTGTAGGGACTGGCTGCCCTATTGTACAGCCACCTTTTGTCCTCTGGTATGACGGGCAGGTTATTAGCCACGATCAGTGGAGGGTGAGGCTGTACGTGGCATTTGCCTATGCAGTTTGTTTCTGCTCTTTGAGAACTAGTCCCACACGAATGTCAAGTATTACTGACTCCTAAAGTCAGTCATAATTTTAATAATTACTTATTCTTTGTTCTAATATTTCAAATAAAGAATCAGGTTGTCATTCAGTGCATTATGTTGCTGATACACATGGCATTTGTATCTGTCGTTCGTGAAAGGCGGAGTGAAAAAAAGGTCAGTTAAACTTGTGAGCAAAAGAGCTCCACCTATGAGGAATGCCAGAGAGGCTGCCTAAGCTGGTAGCCTTTTACAGTGTCCTGTAGAGCGTTATGGTAGTCATACTAATTGAAGAGATAAATTGGGATGCATGGTATGGGTTCAATCAATTCCTTGGGTTTTCCATATTCCAACCTAAGAATAATTTATCAGCAACAACATATTTAAGTAACTTGAGGGTATTTGTTAGGTTTTCCATGAAAAATATGTTTTTCAAATACTAATGTTTTCAGGAAGGGTTCTTTTTATATAAAGTATATATGAAATCGTTACAGTTATTTACTTCGCTGCTTATTATAAAACATCTCCATCAAAGTCTTTTACAAATCATTGCCTTTTCCCTCTCAGAATTAAAGTAACAAACACCTTCAACATTGTACAGTTTCCATATGGTCATATTGAGTTTTTGGCTCTGTCTTGTTGAATTATGATGTGGCTCTGAGTGACTGGGTTTCATTTGCATTATTAAACCCACTGATTTGGGCTTTTGCCTCTTATAACAGCTGTAAGAAAAAGCTGTAGCTGCTGAAGAGTTAGGAAAAAAACACTCAAATGACAGCACAGATCTACTGTGCAAACCTCGTTTTTATTTAGAAGCAGTAATGGAGGCCCAGCCTAAGAAATGCAACTGCCAAAACATACTCAAATAACCACCCGTGGCACAAACGGCAGTTGAATGATGAACAACCTATATTAGCTATTATACAAGCACTAGTCAGTGTTTGGTGAGCAAAGATGGCTGGTTGCCACATGTGTCCTCCTTAACGGTGATTGGCATTAAAGGTCCGTTGAGTATGTCAGCACATGCAACACAATCATCTGAAGAAATACCGCATTTACCAAACAACAGAGGATCCTGAAACATAAATGGGTTTAGAAGACCCAGGTTCAGCTAACACCCTTTGAGCTCTGGAGACCTGAAAGGTACAGGATTTTTGCTTGCTCTTAGCCACTGGTACTGCACTGGTAACCGTGAGGTGATCTCAGATAAGTTCAGTGAGCGAGAAAGATAGAGAGATGCTGTCGACATGTCATTGCTCTATGGATGTACTTCGGAAATTGATATGTTCAGTCTTATAATAGCGCTGTGACGTCAGGGAAATATTGTCACACAGGTGTAAAGCAAAGAGGGAACTGAGCTAAATGTCAAGTGATTTAACCTCAGTCACAGTGGAGAGTCCAGTACCAAAGTTCTTTCACGGTAAAAATAACATTTCTTGTGCTCTATCTTGTTTGAATTTGCTCACATTAAGGAAAAATTTAAATTAATTTTATTATTTTATTAAAAAAGTATTTTTCCATGCCACTCTGTGAATAAATTATAAAACCCCTAAACAGTATAAGCATTCAGCAATAAGCAAGAATAAAATCTCAAACTTCCCTTTCGCATACTTATGCCAACCAACAATACAATAAACAGACTGTACTGGCTACTGTGGAATTTCAGAATCATTCAGGTTGGAAGGCACCTCTGAAAGTTACCTAGTCCTACCTCCTGCTCGAATCTGGGTCAAATTCAAGGTCTGAACATGTTGCTCACATTCTCCAGTTTGTATGGGAAAATCTCCAAGAAAGAAGGTTCCACAACATATCTGAGCAGCCTGTTAATTTCAATTTTTCCCCCCCCAACATATCCAACTGGAATTTCTCTTGCTGCAGCTGGGCATCTGTCTTTTGTCATTTTGCAGTGCACCTCTGGCTTCCTCTTCTCTATAACCTTCTCATTAAGTAGTAGAAGACTACTACCTAAGGGAACATTAGATCCACCACTAATGTTTCCTTCAGGCTGAACAAACCCAGTAAGCTCAGCCTCTGCTTCCTTCAGCCCCTTCACCATTTTAGTCCTCCTCCTCTGGATTCTCTCTAGTTTGTTAAGACCTCTTTTACTCGTGACTCCAGAACCAGACACAGTACTGCAGATGGGGTGTCATGATGCCATGTAGAGGGGTATAATCACTTTGAATGATCTGCTGGCTACATTCTTGCCAATGCAGTTAGCTTGCATCAACTGCAAGGCTACACCACTGTCTTTGTTCCCCTTCCATCAGGACCTCCAAGTCCTCTTCTGCAGGGTGCTT